TATTCAAACCATTACTTCAAACTTAACTTAAACTTACTTCATACTACATACCTGTACCTAAGTTTTACTACAGGAGGAAAGCTTACTTTGATACTGGATAGCTCTATCAATATAAATAGTTCTCCCAGAGGTCCATTAAACGACATCCCTAATTGGTCCAGTAAGCGACTTCCCTATTTGGTCCAGTGGACTCCAGTGTTAATGTTACTGTCGGAGGAAAGCTGAACTAAAACAAGAATGAAAAAACGCAAAGACTTTCCCTACCTGTTTTAATCCTGTATAGTAATGTAAGAGTATCTCCAGTAGTCATCGCCGTCACGTGATAATTTCTAACAGTTGGGACAACATCTGCCAAAGCGGTGAGCTCGTGGAAATGTGTTGCAAAGAGACACAACGCTTTAATACGTGTCGATATAAACCTGGGTGGAAATATAAAGATTTAGTATAAAATGTATTGCACACATCGTACAGCATACATTTTACTACAGTTAAGTCTCTCTTGTGTTCTCTCTCAGTTGACTCAGTTGATGAATGAGTACCAGTGTCTGCTTAGGACAAAGAACTATTAAAATTGGTGGAAATTATGGATTAGTTTTTATACTAACTCTGAGATTGCCCAAGCTAAACCAAATCCGTCATATGTCGACGTTCCCCGTCCAAGTTCGTCAATAATAATTAAAGAATTTTCCGTGGCACTCTAGAAGGGAATAGGAAAAAATAAAATATCAAAATGAACAGTTGTTAATCCTGAAGTAATTTTAATGAAGTATGATATGGTATGATATGGTAGGTATGGTTTGGTTTGGTATGGTAATGGTGTGGCATGGTAGGGTGTCGTATGACGTGGTTTGGTATGGCATCGTGTGGTATGGTGGGCTATGGTGCAGTGTGATTGGGTGTAGCAGAGTGGTTTGGCGTAATATAGTTTTGGTGTGGTGTGGTTTGGTTTGGTTTGGTATGGTGCAATACGGTATGGGGCGAATTGGAATGGCAAAGTATGGTATGGTATGGCTCAGTATCGTATGGTACAACTATGGCTACAATAAAGTAGATACAAACTACAAGTACCCGAAGTATAGATGCTGTTTCCAACATTTCCGACATGAAAGTTGAAACACCTTTGAGCTGACTATCCGCAGAGCCTACGCGAGCTAATATGGCGTCCTTGATAGAGATCTCTGCCGCTTCACAGGGAACAAAACATCCAATTTGAGCCATCAGAACTGCGACACTTACCTAGAGAAGATAATCGACTGCTTTTGTCTTTCATCTCTATGATTGGGATTTTATTCCTGTGCAGTTATCCGGTTATAACTTCGCCTCAATAGACCTTTCCCCTTATGAGTGAAATTTTGATCTAGATATGCCTGGGCAACAATTTCATCACAGCTTGAAAGATCATCACAAAATTAGTAATATTCCGAAGTTTCGTTGTGAAATGTTGTAAAATGCGGATAATATAGCCTTGCGAAGTTCGCCGTTTTTCAGTCATTTTGCATTACAATCTAACATTTTGCATCAGTTTGATCATTTGATTATCAATTTCCCGTTTGTAATACCAAATGACTGAAAAACGGCAAACTTCGCAAGGCTATATTATCCGCATTTTACAACATTTCGCAACGAAACTTCGGAATATTACTAATTTTGTGATGCTCTTTCAAGCTGTGATGAATTTTTTGTCTAGACTTGTCTAGATCAAAATTTCACTCAAAAGGGGAAAGGTCTATTGCATGCGAGAAGAGCACTTCCAATTTGAACTCTGCCAAGCATTGCTGGTTTCTTCCAGGTTTCATCCTGTAGTAAATCTGGTCCAGATAGCCTTATGGACCTCTAAAGGGACTTGTTTAGAACTGGCAGAGCTATATTGTATTGCTGTAGTAAGTTTAGGCTATACGTTACACGAGACCTCAGGGAGAACAGCTGAACAGTTTAGAACTGCTAGCAGTATCCAGTATAAATAAAGTTAGATATTAGCGACTTACAGAACGAATGTACGTTGATTTTCCACCCATGTTTGGACCG